AGATTTATTGTTTTGAATAAATGAGTCTTGGTTTTCATTTTTCACCTTATATCTGACCTAGTCTTTATTATTTCTTTTATTAGTTTTGAGTTTTTCCCCCATAGTTCTTTGAATTGTAAATTTAGATTATTGATGTAAGACTGTAATTTACTGAAATTATTTACAGCTATGAATTTATACTTTACCACTGTCTTCACTTCATGACTTAAGTTTAGGTATGTTTAATTTTTAATCTCAAGATATTTTTGAATTTCCCTTGTGATATTTGACAAATTGGTTGTTTAATTTCCACATATTTGAGGACTTCTATGTTCTTTCTGCTATTCTAGTTTCATTCATTGTTATCAGAAAAGCTACATTGTATAATTTCAGTCTTTTAAAAAAGATTAAAACTTATTTTCCAAACGTGGTCTATCCTGGAGAATATTCCATGTGAACTTGAGAAAAACATGTATTCTGTGTTCAGGTGGAGTGTTCTGCAAATGTCTATTAAGTCTAATTGGTCTATAGTGTTCTTCAAGTTTTCTATTTCTTTATTGATCTTCTGTCTGTTAAAAAAACATTGTTGAATGAGGTATCCTAGTATTCTAAAGCTATTTCTTCAATCTTGTCAATGCTTGCCTTATGTATTTAGGAGCTTTGATGTTTGGTGCACAGACGTTTGTAATTATCTCTCTCTGGTGCATGGACCTTTTAATTATCAGGTAGCATCCTTTCTATCTAGTAACAGCTTTAACAATGTATATTTTGTCTGATATTAGAATAGCCACCCTGCTCTCTTTTGGTTCTTATTTATATGGATTTTTTTCCCCATCTTTTCACTTATAACCTATATGTTTGCTTAGATCTAATGTGAGTCACTCAGACAATATATAGATGGTAATATGAAAAAGAACAGGGCCTATTCCAGCCTATATTGACTGGCTCTGTGAAGGAAAACAATCAACCTGACATGAAGGCTTATGGTTTTCTCAAGCTTATCTAAGCATACCTGTTTCCCTGGGCCTGTGTGTGTGCATCCCCCACCCTCCATCCTAACCCCTCCCTATACAAGGCTGTCTGCAAGGTCTTAGGTGTTTTCTTGTATTCCTATGCCTGTAACCTCTCACCTTAAGGAGCCCACAGGTCTGCAGCCTCCTTGCAAGTCTTACATTCCATGGTGACTGCCACTGCTTTCAGTGGCCTCCAACCTGATAGTCAAACTATGCCACCATTTCTACCAGAGCTCCAAGTGAGGCAAAACAGAACCAGTCTCTCAGGAAGACCCAGGTGGGCTAGAACATTTAAAACAAATTTCAATCTTTCTTTTCTCATGCAAGGGCATGGGAAGAACCAGGAACTGGACAGCTCCCTGCTGACTGTGCTGTGCCAAGGAAGAGACAGGGCATGGGTGAGCAATAACATCCCAAACTTTTTTCCATATTGAGTGTGACTTCACCTTGTTTAGATATTTGCCTAGTTGCTGCAAATCCTTAACTAATTTCTAGAGTTCCCACAAAGTATGTTGTTATTTACTTTGTGTTTCTATGGGGGAATAAGGGCCTGGAGTATCCTTGTTCACGATCTTGCTGATGGCACTCTTCAGTATTACTTTTTAAAATATTATTATTAACAGCCTTCTGTTAATTCACTCCCTCTCATACCTTTAAAAATCTTTAAGTGAAGAGTAAGTGGTAAGCAACCCCTTTGACTTAGTTAATATGTAATGACACAGCAATAAAAATCAAATGACTTAAAAAAATCAAATGACTTATAATCTATTACCAGCAAATTTCGAGACAATTTATTTGAACGCTTATTTTGCTGAATGATTCAGCTATATACAATATTTTATAGGTTTTTATACCTCAAGTGTCTGGAAGGTGCCATATTACTGATGCTCAAAAATTGATGGCCATAATGATGACACTTATATAGGTCATTTCTCTATGAGCTAAAACCATGACACAATTGTTTGACTTTTAGGAGTCAACTTTTATAACTTCACATTCTTGAATATTTAATGAAAAGAAATTACAGATCTGTACATAATCTGTTTCCATGGAGAGTTTAAGTCCTTAGAGAATATAAAGGAATGTAAAGATTTTGTCCTTTGAACCATCAATCAGAACAGAGTTCCCTCCCATCAGGAACATCCATCCTCATGTACCTCAAAATGGAGCTTCTGTAGCAAATAACCCAAATAACTCCATTTGCTTAGGTTTAATTACCAACTATGTTTTCTCAAATATACCATATATTCAGGTTTTTTTTCTAGTCCATGTTTATCCTTTGTAGATAATTTTCAGTTTTCTGACTCTTTAATTTTCCTAAATAAATTATATACTTTAATCATTCTCTTAGCTCATATCCTGTTATCCAAGAAGTAACAAGTCCTTAGAGTTTATCACATTCATCCCATCTGACATCAATCCCTTTCAGCCTTCATATCCCTACGTATTATCAGCTATATCTTATGAAGACACTGCTTTGTATCACCTTCCCACTTAAAACTCCTTATTACCTATTGGATAATGGTCACATTCCTTCATGACCCTCTAAAGTTTAGCCTCATACCACTTCTCCACATTTATTTCCCACTAGTCCCCATCATGAATCTCGTGTTCCCTGCAACTGCATTTGTTGCCAGACCTTAAGTATGGTGACCTTTTTCCTTGAATGCCCACCCTCATCATCCCCCTTACCAAATTTATTCATTTATATCTTTCACTCATTTAGAATATATTTATTGTTTACTCATTTCCAAATCCTACCTCTTCTATTAATCCTTGCCAAATAATTCAGTCTTCAATGTGTTCTGACTTCTTTAGTCCTACAGAGTAGTTATCACTTTATCCCATTAATGTGGCACATTGTGATTTCTTGGCATATTTACTTACCTCTCTTCTGTCTATATTATCTCAAATAGACCTATGTTTCCCAAAGACAGGAAACAATAAGCCTTTTCATTGCTATAGTGCTCTCAGCAAAGTGTCTATATTTAATTATCTTTCTGAGTAGTTATTCTCTTTGATCACAAGAACAATAGTGGATAGTGATAAAAATCAAGGACTGATTTCCAGAAAATACACAAACATTGGTCATAAACATATATTAAAGCATTTAAAATTTATAGAGCAAAGTCAAAGGCATTTTTTTACATGTTCTTCTGATGCCTGCTAAACATGTTTTAGGATTTGTCAAGGAATTTCTAAGTTTCTTGGCTGGTCTGAGGAATACTTAATTCTTTCAACCCTTTAAATCATAGAATAATGCACAAACCCAGTTATGCCATACTCATGTTAATAAGGAAGGTTGCCAACCAGTTCACTGGGTGGTATGTTCAGCTTAGGGGTTATTCCATAAGTATCCGAAAGAATGAGTGTCAGTGATTGCCTCTCACAATGTGTAAGCAAATTAAGAGGGCAGTCTAGTTGAAATAGTTGCATAATAGTGTTGAAAATTCATCTACTGCATTGATGATTTTTTTTGAAAGATTTTATTTACTCATGAGACACACACACACAGAGAGAGAGAGAGAGAGAGAGAGAGAGAGAGAGAGGCAGAGACACAGGCAGAGGGAGAAGCAGGCTCCATGCAGGGAGCCCAATGCAGGACTCGATCCTGGGTCTCTAGGACCACGCCCTGGACTGAAGGCAGTGCTAAACCGCTGAGCCACCCGGGCTGCCCTGATGATGATTTCTCTATCGATAGATCATTCTGAGTCCAAATGAGGAGAACCATATCTAAATACAATGTTAACTAAGCTTCTCTCCTTCCCCAACTCCCAGGCCTCTTCTCTTTCACCTAAATTAGAATAGCCTAGGGGTCCATGACTCTCAATATGTATTAACATATTGCTAAGAAACAAACCTTATTTTACCAGAAGTCTTGGGAGACACACTATAACGTGCTAACCTGTAGGGATAAATCAAATGGAAGGAGTTTTGGGCACACAAATGAACATTTGGAGTCTTTTTCTCCTCAAGCCATAGCTGAGAGACTACAGCCCACCCCTCCTGAGTAATGGGACAGAGGCCTTCTTTTCACAATTTGGAGAGAAAAATACCTTGAAATTAATGAGTCTTCCTAGAAATTTTTTTTATTCATTTTCTGAGAACACATTATCTTTCTTAAGTCTAGCCCAGGGCTGAACATGGCTCATATAAGTCTCACACATGACTTTATCATTTTAGATTGTTTGAAAGTAAATAAAAACAAATGGGAAAAAAACATTAAATAAAAGCAATTTCTGGACTCAAAAATTACCTAGAGATATTAGCTATTTTACACCCATCTCCAAAAACACAAAAGCATTTTTAATCAATTTTCAAGAAGATGCTCTAATCTTTAATTAAGTATGCATTTAAAAAAAGAAGCATTCTTCATATGTCCAGATTATACATGTTTATTTTGAGTTAGTGGATACAATGGCATATTAGATACCAGCACTCCAAGCTACACCTATGTATTTGCCTCTAAACCTTCACACAGCATCAGTTTCCATTCTTCTAACATTCCACCACTGGGCCTATTTCTAGCAAAATCATAGTTCCATTTTTTTAAAAGTAAAAGATGGATCAGCATATTGTGCTTCTAGTGCCCCCACAAAGATTATAATGGTCTCAAATAAGTGTTCACTTTCAGTAAAGGGGGGAAAATTGAAAATATGAGCACTCATAATGGCACTACTACAAGGAAAGAATAGAATACAGATTTCAAAGGAACATTTTGGCTCGATGAGTTAGTTTCTCCTTAGGAAAAAAAAATCCACATAATGTCATGGATAGGACTTCAAAGTTAAATTGTTCAATTTGTGGGCCACACACTTCAGCGTATTGGCTAGTACATTTTTGCACTGAAACAGAAGCAATACAAGCTTTATGTTCTACCATTACACTTCCAGATTTTTCACTTATTAAGATACCTGCCAACCTAATGATTCTTGCATGCATTAGAGTTTGCTTTTGTAGAATTAAGTTTATTTTCCCCATCCCTCCCACTCCCATAAACATTGCAATGTAAACTCTTTGCCCAATTTTATGAGAATGTTACAAAGGACAGTTCTGTGCCACCTCAGGACAGGAATTCCCTGTTCCCTCTCCAGCTACTGATGAATCAGTAGTATTGATCACATCTCATCTTACATGCATACAGACACTGCTCCCTTAATTTCCCCATGCCAGAGGCATACGAGTCGGCAGGTATGCATACAAAAATGGAATTAAAAAGAAACGGAAAAGGAAAAAAAAAGTTTTCTTATTAAAGCCTATCGTCCTAGAATGAATCCATTGCTTTGAATTCACTTAAAGCCTGTACAGGCGAAATGTGTTTCTTCTGGGAACCTCGTCTAACTCGTGTCTGGAATTCTTCAGGCTTTTCTCTCTTCACAAGGGGCTTCTTCTCTGGAGCCTTCATCTTCCAAGACACAACTGGTGAGTTGACAGCTGCTGTCCCATACACCTTCTGGTATTTGGTTGAGGCCACATAGGATGCTTTCACCGTGAGGACAACAGCATTCATCAGGTTTTTAGCTGCCTGGATAAGTGATGTGGCACTGTCCAGCTAGAGCAGGAGGAGGAGAGAGATACACCTGGGTTAGTCACAGCACAGCATTCACAAGATGGTGGTGTAACTTCATAGTTCAAACAGTGTTGTGCTTGTGCAAGTATATAATATTGACAAAAAAAAGAGCAAATTATTAAATGATAAAGTGAACAAGCTACATAGCAATCACTCTCTTCTATCCTTAATCCCAAGGTGAAAAGAAAAAAGAAGACACTCTATAAGGTATAGCTTTCTAAAACCCCAATACCTCTAAAGACTAAGAACTTTTTAATATGTAAGAATTTGAGTGTAACACAAGTTTTCCAAAGTGGAATATCTTATGTTATTACATTAGGTTGTTTGGTGAGGGTGAGAATTACTCAAATGCTTAAAAGGCATTTTGCTGGCACTATAGAATAAAAAGGTATACAGGGTTATATCTCAATTTTATAGCTCTACCCCTGGAAATATCTATTTATAGATTATTTCTTCATCCTGAGCTCAGTTATGATAGGAATGCAGGAAGCTAAGCAGAGAAACACACCGTTGGTGCACTGCCTTTTATTGAGGTGTTCACTGGACTTGAATATCTATTTAAGCATTTTCAGGTCTTGAATCTACCTCTTACAAAAATAATAATTATGTCAAGCTCTCATAGGCAGAGAGTATTCAGTGAAACCCCCATTACCCCATGTTAATGAAATATTGATTTCTTATGATGTGGCAAACACTATTTTAAGAACTTTGTATTTCCCCATTTAACTCATAAGCACTCTAGGAGGTAGCTATTATTGTCATTGTATTTTATGATGAGAGAACTTGTGCTTTATACAATTTAAGTGATGAAGTCCTTAAAGACTCTACCATACTGCCACACTGTTGGGTAGGATAGCTAAGATACTATAACAAGTCACAACTTAGAGTAGGTTTAGAAGCTGATCCTTAGACTCAAACCAGGGATGTTTTTAGTTCACCTCTTTTATTCTTTTAACTAGTTTGACAATGTGGTATATATTTTATATGAAACCATTCAATATCTGTTTCAACCTGCTTCACTTCCTAGACTACAGATGCAAGAAAGTTCAAAACTGCATTTCCCAGACTCCTTTTCAGCCAGGATCTACAAGTGACCTAGTAAAAGGAAAGAATTAACAGCTGACTATTTATCAAACTTCTTATAATATCAGCTAAGAAAATATATCTATTGCAGTTAAATGAGGAATCCAATAATGTTTCTCATTGTTGAGCTTGATGGGGTGTAGCGGCATTAGCGAATGGGAGTTAGATATGTACCTTCAGTGTGTAAGGTAATTGGCAAATTTTTTAAGCTAAGGGACCCCAAATACTGTGGCCCCTCTATGTGATGTGACTCGCCCTTATTTTAACTTTTTGCCATTTTCTGTGATCAAAGCATGTCCCAAACAGTGACTGGGCACATCAGAAGTTACATCTAAGACCTCTGTGATGCTATTGCTCAGGCTGTTCTCTGTTCCATGTACTTCATTAGAGCTAAATAAATATAATGCTAAATTTAAAAAAAATTATGACAAGTGAGCTCTCAGTTCTCCCACCACCAGAAAAGCTCATGAAGTCAGGTCACTGGGGAAAACAATGGACGATGCTTTCTATGTATGAATTCCTTTCAATACCATAGAATTGAGACTTTACTATTTAAAAAATAGATCGAAGGCCAGTATTACATTTACCCTATAACAACATAAAAAAGAAGCAAAGAGATTTGTGGATTAGAGCCATGATTCAGCAAAGAGATAACTGACTGCTTTGTGAATGAAATCAACCAAATATATAGAGTAAGCACTTGACCACTTCTATTACACTGAACAAGGTGCACATATACAAAAATAACTGCTTAACCCATAATGTTAATTTATAGAGCATAAATTTTGAAAGCTAGCTAAGGAAAAGCAAATTCTAGATTATTCATGTTAATAGAAGAGAAGCCACGCATGGATTAGTACAGTGATTCTCATAGTCTATGAACCAGCAGTATCAGTATCACCTGGGAACCTGATAGAAACTCTCAAATTTTCTGAATAAAAAAATCTGTAATCCAGGGGATGCTGATGCATGCTAGAGATTGAGAACCACTGGATAAATGAAACCCAAGGACTATGTGAAGGTTTATTTCATCTAATGATTTTAGGACTTTGAACATACATGAGTTTGGTAACATCGGGGCCAGTTATCTGGCTGAATTTTACTTTTTTATCTCTTTTTATTATACCCCCAGGTAGAAGTATAAATAATGAGATAAAGAGATAGCAAATGTTGGGACAACTGGGTCAGTCACGGTTTCTTTAGAAGCTAGATACCATACCCCTTGGCCAATTGACAGCCCCCTGTAAGTCTGTCAGGTTTCAAAAATGAGCAATATTCATTCATAAAGTAAGTTAATTCTGTTGTGTATCATGGGTAAAGAAAGGGAAGAATGGTATCAGGGACAGTTCTGTGAATTTGCTTCTGGGCAAGAAAATTAGTAGAAGTAGAATAAAACAAGATGCATCTACTGCATTATTAAGTGGTTCTCTGAAAGCAAATCTTGGGAGAATTGAGTGGATCCAGAGGGAAGAATTACAAGTAATTTGGAAATTTTTACCACCGATTCCATTTTCAGATAGATGGTGTCTAATTCTGCAGCAAAAATATGATAGCCTGTCTCTTCTTCAGAACCCCTTTGCTCTCCCAGCCTGATGGAGGAATCCTGCGAATAAACCTAATACATCGGTTGAAAGTGAGACATCTCTGAAATATAAAGCCAATGATTTCATTCAAGGTAACTGGTAGGGCAGATACTGAATTTGTGGTAAAGTGTAAAGCTAGTAGGTGAGGAACCGGGCCAGCTAACCCTGAACAAGTATACTGCTAGACAACATGCCCAATCTAAAAAGATATTTGCAAACTCCAGGTTTAGGAAAAAGCCAAAGGATAATGTTTACCATTCCCCTATATCCATTTTAATGATTTAGATCATTGTTGCTACAATCAGAATTTGTTTTATTTAAAAACAAATTTATTCCCCTTTATTCTTGTCCAAAACAGCACAGAGACCTGGCATGTGTCATTGAAAATTCACTTCCTAAAGAAAATACACTAAAATGACTAGGGCTACATGGCAAGATCTTTTAATACAAGGTTTAGGAAACCCTGTTTAACCTAATTGTATTGTTTTGCAATTTATACTATATGGCATTTTCAGACAAGTTATATAAATGAATTATGTACAAATGAAATCCTAATAACCAATATTAACTGAGCATTTAGGAGGTGCTTAGACATTGCCTTTGTCCTTTTAATTACATTGCATGGTTTAAGTTCCAAAAATTCCTTGAAGTAGGAACAATCAATATAAAGCTTAAAAAGGTAATAGAACTTGCCTCTGAAATAATGGGCAAAACTAGGGATCAGGACCTATACTGTTTTTCTCCAAAGACTACCATCTGAACCCCTCTTTCATCTCTGGAGTTCTTGTTTTTTAGTGACTATCATTCAAAATGAACCTATCTCAATGATTAGTTCTGTTTGTGTAATGCCTGTCCTTAAACTTGGTACCATTCTATACACATCATGACTGAGTATGGTGAGACCCACTATCTCAGGTGTGACTCTTAGTTTCATCCTTGGAGCCTGAATTCTTTGTAATACTTGCTCAGCTTCTCTGAAGCATAGTCACTGCACAGCTATAATGACTGGTTGTGCTCTAGGATGGGGTTCAGCTACTTAGTGCTCTAAGCCTCTATCAGGGCTGGTATTCCTAGATTTATAACAGCTTTAAAGTGGATTGTATTTAGAAATACATTCCTCCAGCTAGTCTATATATGTACTGATTAACCTGGGAGCAGAAAGACTCATATCTTTTCCTACTTAAGAGACTTTTTATTCCTACTAGACATTTAGTTCAGTCCTTATATTTAAGAGAAGTAACCTAAATTTCAGTTAATTAAAAAAAAAAAAGCCTACATTTAACACCATGTACCAGTCTCTGCATTAGCTCCCTGAGTTTCTTTTCTTTCATTCAATCTCACAACAATGTCTGAGACAGGTATTACTATTATGCCAAGTTGGGACAGAGAAGGGCCATGCAGCTTGCTAAGTATCACATTGCAGGTAGGTGTTGAAGCCAAAACTTAAACCCAGGCAGCCTAACTCCAGAGGCCATGGACTAACCATTTCTTGATGCTGCTTCCCAGAGTCATGCATAGCAGATGAAGCCACAGCTCACCAATCTATCAAGCTATGCTAGACTAATTAATTCTCCCTATTTTATTTTATAGGTGTCTGCTATCCCTAACCACAGAAATCAGGCTTCTCCTAATTCTGTCACTTTTTTTTTAAATATCAAAGTACTATTTTAAAAAGGTAGCAGATGTTTCCTCACATCTTGTTCTGTTACAATCCATGAAAAGCAAATAAGGGTGGGAGAGCTGTTTCATAGCCATCTCTATAGGGTTTTTGTAGTTCTTTTTTCTGCCTCTGTACTAGTCTTTTCTTTTTAACCCCACTAAAATTCTCATAGACAGATTTCTCTTTCCCTACATCATCCTCAATTTGTGTTTTGAATGGAGAGATATAGAGGGGAGATGTTGCTGATTTGTGATTTTTTTCATTAATTGATATTTGTGCTAATTCCTTAGGTTGAAGATTGTCATGAAAAGTGCTTAAAATGACTTATAGGATCATCTGAAGAATTCTGAAACCCCCTCCCATAAGTCTTACACTACTTCATGAAAATGGAGGTTATGTTGCAAGAGGTGTTCAGTTTCTTTTTTTTTTTTAAGATTTATTTATTTATTCATGAGACACACACACACACACACACACACACAGAGGCAGAGACACAACACAGGCAGAGGGAGAAGCAAGCCCCATACAGGGAGCCCAATGTGGGACTTGATCCCGGGACTCCAGGATCACACCCTGGGCTGAAGGCAGGCGCTAAACCACTGAGCCACCTAGGGATCCCCAAGGTGTTCAGTTTCAATAGAAAACAGACTTTGATG